GGACTACCTCAAACCAAAATGCTTTGGCACGGTGAAGGAAACCATCAACAACAAAAAAAGGCAACCTACTGAATGGGAGAATGTATTTGCAAATGATAGATCCAATAAGAGATTAACCAATATATTGTGTGTATATATAATCCAAAATATATGAAGAACTTATGCAAGTCAATATCAAAAAATAATCTGATTAAAAAATGTGCAGAGGACCTGAATACACGTTTTTCTAAAGAAGACACACAGATGGCCATCAGGTTCATGAAAAGGTGCTCAACATCAGTAATCATCAAATGTAAATCAAAACTACAATGAGACGTCACCTCATATCTATCAGAATGGCTATTATCAAAAAGACAACAAATAACAAGTGTTGTCGAGGATGTGAAGAAAAGGGAACCCTCGTGCACTGTTGGGGGGAATGTAAATTAGTGCAACTACTATGGAAAATAGTATGGAGGCTCCTCAAAAAATTAAAAATAGATCTATCATATGGTCCAGCATTACCACTTCTGGATGTTTATCTGAAGAAAACAAACACACTAATTTGAAAAGATATATGCACCCATATGTTCATTGCAGCCTTATTTATAATAGCCAAGACTTGGAAGCACCCCAAGTGTTCCTTGGTACATGAATGGATAAAGAAAATGTGGTGTGTATACACACACACACAGGGATTATTCAGCCATAGAAAAGAATGAAATCTTGCCATTTGTGAAAACATAGATGGATCTTGAAGGTATTATGCTAAGTGAAATAAGCCAGACAAAGAATAATATCATATGATTTCATGTATATATGGAATCTAAAAAACAAAACAAAAGAACAAACAAACAGAAGCAGACTTACAGATACAGAGAACAAATTGGTGCTTACCAGAGGGGTGGGGGTTAGGGAGAAGGGCAAAATAGGTGAAGGGGTTAAGAGGTACAAACTTCCAGTCATAAAATAAGTCAGTCATGGGATGTAGTGTACAGCATAGGAAATATAGTCAACAACATTGTAATAACTTTGTATGATGACGGATGGTAACTAGTATCAGGGTGATCATTTTGTAATGTAAATAAATGTTGAATCACTATATTGTACACTTGAAACTGATACAATATTGTATGTGAACTATACTTCAATAAAAAGAAAAAAGTAGTCCCTTTTGGGAGTTTAGACCATCCGTATAAGTTCTTCTTTTTTTTTTTTTTTGAGGAAGATTAGCCCTGAGCTAACATCTGCTGCCAATCCTCCTCTCCTCCCCCCCCCCCTTTTTTTTTTGCTGAGGAAGACTGGCCCTGAACTAACATTCCTGCGCGTCTTCCTCTACTTTATACATGGGAGGCCTGCCACAGCATGGCTTGCCAAGTGGTGCCATGTCCACACCCGGGATCCGAGCTGGTGACCCTGGGCCCCCAAAGCAGAACATGCTCAATTAACCACTGGGCCACTGGGCCAGCCTCATAAGTTCTAATAAAATACAAAGTGATAAAGGAACCATGATTGTTTCTCATGGGAGATCTATTCAAGTATTGTAGTAATATTTAAGGCTTTTTCTAAACTTTATTTGTATTTATTTTATTTATTATTTTATTAAGATTTTACTTTTTTAGAGCAATTTTAGGTTCACAGCAAAATTGAATGGAAAGTGCAGAGATTTCCCATATATGCCCTGCCACTCACGTGCATACTTTTCCCCATTATCAACATCTCCACCAGAGTGGAATATGTATTACAATTGGTGAACCTACATTGACACATTATGATTACCCAAAGTCCATACTTTATATTACAGTTCATCCTTGGTGTTGTACATTCTGTGGGTTTGGACAAATCTATGACATGTTTCCATCATTATGGTATCTTACACGGTATTTTCACTGCCCTAAAAATCCTCTGCATTCTACCTGTTTATCCCTTCCCTCTTCCCAACCCGACAACCACTGATCTTTTTACTGTCTCCACAGTTTTGAATTTTCCAGAATGTCATATAGTTGGAATCATACGTTATGTGGCTTTTTCAGATTGACTAAGCCCTTTTAAAATTGAGATATAATTCACATACCATAACATTCACCCTTTAAAACTATATGGTTTAATGATATTTAGTATATTCGCAAGGTTGTGTAACCATCCCCACAGCCCCATCCCAGAACGCTTTCCTCACTCCAGAAAGAAACCCTGTACCCATTAGCAGTTGTTCTCCAGCCGCGCTTCTCCAGCCCCTCAAAGCCACTAATGTACTTTCTGTCTCTGGATTTGCCTATTCTGGACATTTTATGTAAATGGAATCATACAGTATGTGGCCTTTTGTGTCTGATTACTAAGCCTTTTTAATGATGGCTTTAACCTTTTCAAAGTATGTTCATATTTAAAAATAAATGCATAACACCTCTATGAGGTAGACAGGAACTTTGTGACATAATGCATTGTCAGATTTACTATGTCTTCATGACCTCAGTTTACCATAGGATGAGGGAAAGGTTAAGAGGTGGCAGGGTGGAGATGTTGGAAAGCAGAGTTAAAGGAAAAATAAGACATGATGATATATGAAAAATAGCTCAGTCCTGTGGGATTTCTCGAACGATGAGTATTAAATCTTATTGAAGTGCAACTGCAATTAAATACTCCAATTACATGTAAGACTTTAAAATATGAAGATGGGTTGTTGAGCCTTCTCATTTCAGCAAGGTTGAGAGGATGCCACCATTGTGCTCTTCGTTATTCCAAACTCTTTAAATGGAAGCCTGCTGCTACAGTGTGCAGAAAGGGTATGATAAATTTATTTGTTTTAATAAGTCAAACCAAGTAGTAAGTGTCTTTTGCCTTTGCTGTAATTAACTCCAGTAGAGAACTTTTATATAATGGAAATGTGAAGCATTAATTTTTATAAAGTTGTAAGTATGTTTGAAATTAATGGTTGGTATTAGTAAAAAGTAACATTTCTATAAATTTTGCATGTTAGGTTTTCTGTTTTAAAATATAGTGTGCTTTTGGGATGTAAATTAGTGCCATCTTCACAATTGAATTTGTAGTTTAATAACTACGTAGAGAAGATCCCTAGGATAACAAATAACAGTAGGCTATCTTCACAGTTGTCTACCATGGCTCCTGCCGTTTCCTGGCACAAAGGAATTTCTGACTAAATTATTCTTTGGTTCCTATCTGGCTTTTTGCCCTGATCAGCTGTGCTACAGGTCTATGCAATGTGTGGACTTCTTTTGCCTCGAAGCCTGAATGATCTGTCTCATGCTTCTTTTCCTTGGCCCGCTACTTCAGCCTGCTTGTCTTTCTTGGGGGTGCTTTCCTTGATACTAAGAATCCCCTGATCCCTTCTCTAATATCATTCCCAAGGGAAGTAAGTTCTAAAAGGGGAAAGTTAATGAAAAAAAATGAGGGGTATCCTTAGGTTAATAAAACTCTTGCCCCTATTCAGCACTTGTAATTAAATCTTCTTAGAAGTTCCAGCCTCATGTCGAGTGGCTTAACTGTGACCTTAGTATCCATTTTCCATTTTATCCGTTCCCTACATTGAGTTTTCCTGCTGGGTTGTGGTGAAGGAAGTCGGGGCAAAGGGATAGAAAGAGAGAGTCCTGTATGTATTGAGGTGAGGAGGAAAGCCTTGGGCAGCAACCCATGAGAGAGAGTTGTATCTACTAAGATAGTCTGGGTAGGATTTTTATTTGTATGTATATGTTGGTGTTTTAATTTGTGTATGTTTGAATTGCTAAATACAAGAGTAGCTGAGAATATGCTGATTCAGAAAATAATTTATAATGCTATAGCCATTTACCTATTACATACAATTTAAGATCTTCTCAAAGCATGTAAAAAGCATTCATAGTTTTTAGCTTTCATATGTCTAAGCATTTCACAATCAACAAGCTCTTTTTATGATAGTTTTTAAAAAGTACAATCCTTTAAAAAACCTATTATACCTTATTTTGTAAACTCATGTAGCATTAAGAATGTCTAGTTTTATATAGATATTCAAATATGTTTATTGTTAACTTTGTTTTTCATTACTGAAGTGATGCCTTGTTTGAATATTGTTTATGGATATTTTGTCTTTCAGTTGAACTTGTGTACATACCTGCTTAGGAGGTTGGCATGATTTATGATGAGTACATGGACATATGTATAATTCATTGAATCTTCGAGATGGGAAGGGTCTTAAAGGCTTGTCTAGTCCTGGTTGCCCACCTAAAACAGAAACTTGTCTTCAACCAACTCTTCACATCCAGCTCTTATAATTGCTGCTTTCTTGTAGCCATTGGTAGGGAATGTCAGCTCTTTCTGGACATTCCATTCTAGTTCTGAAAAATTGTAACTATTTGAAAATTGTACCTTGAATCTCTCTCACTCTAACTCAATCATTTATCTTAATTTTGTTCTTCTAGAACTAGTCCTTTTTCTATAAAAATACTCTTTCGTGGTTTGAAGCTGTATCATGGGTCTCATTACATCCTATTTATGCTAAGCAAGCCCAGTTTTTGTGAAATGTTAGCCACGTTACAAGATTTCTCTATCCTCATCACCTACCGGATATGGTTTAATTCCTTGGCTTTCAAGTGTTTTTAACTGCAACCCCAAGAAAGAATACACTTTATATTCCAACTCAGTACACCTATATGTATATACATGTAGTCCATAGTTTTATTACATATTTGTGACTGAAACAAAAATTTTGTCAGACAGCATATCTTTTTCTGCTCTTTCTCATTTTTAAGAAATACTGGTGTTACTTGTTAAATTGATTCTATGACTCCTGGATGGATTTCAGCCTGAAGTTTGAAAGTCACTGTTCTAATTTGTTCATGCTGCAGAACTGAAATGAACAGTTTCCAAAAGCTGGATGTTAGGATAATTGTTACTAAAACAAGTTTTACCTACATCATCTCAAAGAGAATATTCTGATGGTGGTTGTTAAGTAAAACTTAACAGGATTATCAATTTCTTGTTAATGAATACAGTAAAACTAAAATATATGCAACTTTTATTTTTATCCTTAGGTGGCGACAGACAAGGTTGCAGAAAAGCTGAGTTCTACTCTCTCATGGGTGAAGAACACAGTATCACATACAGTCAGTCAAATGGCCAGTCAGGTGGCAAGTCCATCTACTTCATTACACACTACATCCTCATCTACCACGCTATCAACGCCAGGCCTTTCGCCATCTTCCCCATCACAGTTGAGTCCAGACGACTTAGAACTCCTGGCTAAACTGGAGGAACAAAATAGGTGAGTGCCCTTGCTTGGCTTTTCTCTCTCCAATGATCATACAAACTCAACCATTCATGTATGTATATATACCATATTCAAAATTTTAAATATTTACTCATATTAAGAATGTTTATTTTCTAGTATTTGGCTCCTTGTTTATCAGACTTACTTAAAAGTATTCAAGTCTTTTTTGCAGGAGCTGGTCTTAAAACTAAAGTTGGACTAAAATTTTCGTCTGGCTCAGAGAGCTTTTGAGATTTGTTTTTGTCATATAGCAAATTCCCTAAATTCTTCCTGACTTTTAGAAATTTTTTTAAGGCAAATAAAACTATCATTTTTGTTTTAAACTCTCTAAATAGTCCCCGTTCATTAAGTTGTAAAATAATGTAATTTAGGATGGATATCTGATTTTTGGTTTTAAGTGGAAATCTCATAAATTTGTTCATGGAAGGCAAAGTGTCCTTTTTCTTATTGAATATGAAATAGAATAGTTGTTTACTGTGCTAGGAATGTGTACTCTGGAACCTGTGTCACCCTTCACTATATTATTAGAAGCTTTTAAGGGCATCAGCTACAAAAGAATTACTGGAAGAGCAGCATTTTGTGTTGTCAATATACCACCACTGGCTTTAAGGATAATAACAGATAATTTCTTACAACTTTTTTGACATATCACTTACATCATAAAGTACGCATACTTATGGTGTACAATTTGATAAGTTATGACATATGTATATCCTTGTGAAATAATCACCAAAATCAAGAAAATGAACATATCCACTATCCCCCTTCCTAGCCCCAGGCAGCCATTGATCTGCTTTCAGTCACTATAGATTAATTTTATAGAAATTTATAATTTTATAGAAATGGAGTTTCTATAGAAATTTTATAGAAATTTTAGAATGTTATAGAAATGTAATCATGTAGTATATACTGTTTTTCAATGGATTATTTCAGCGTAATTGCTTTGAGATTCATCCATGTTGTAGCAAGTATGAATAGTTCATTCCTTTTTATTACTTAGTAGCATTACATTGTATGGATATATCACAGTTTGCTTACTCATCTGTTGTTATGAAATGCTGTAAACATTTGTAGATAAACCTTTGTATCAGTGTATGCTTTCATTTCTCCTGGGCAAATACCTAGGAATGGAATGACTGGTTTATATGGAAAGTGTACATTTAACTGGCAAACTGTTTTCCAACGGGTCTATGCTTTTTCACATTCCCACCGTCAGTGTATGAATATTTCAGTTCCTCTGCATCCTTGTCAATGCTTGGTATAGTCAGTCTTTTTGATTTTAGCCATTCTGATAGGGATTGGTGGCTTTAATTTGCATTTTCCTTAAGATATTGAGCATGTTTTTGTGTGCTTATTTGCCATTATCTTCTTTGATAAAATGTCTGCCTGAAATTTTTGCCCATTAAAAAAAATTAGGTAGTTTGCTTTCTTATTATTGTGATTCGTGAGTTCTGTATGTATTTGGAATACAAGTCCTTTATCAGATATGTGCCTTTCAGATATTTTTTCCCAGCCTGTGGCTTATCATTCTCTTGACAGTATCTTTTGAAGAGCAAAAGTTTAAAATTTTAAGATCCAATTTGAAATTATTCTTTGTGGATTGTGCTGTTGATGACCTAAGGTCACAGAGATTGACTCCTATTATAGAAGTTTTGTAGTTTTAAGTTTTACATTTAGGTCTGTGTTCCATTTTGAGTTGATTTTGTACATTGAGCAAAATATAGATCAAAGTTAATTTTTTGAATATACATATTTAATTGTTTCTGTACCATTTGTTGAAAAGGCTATCCTTTCTTCACTTAATTTCTTTTGCACTTTTGTGAAAAATCTGTTGTCCATATACACGGACCTATTTCTGGACTCCGTTCTGTTCCATTATCTATTTGTCTCTCTTGGTGCCAATATAATACTGTCTTGATTATTGCAGCTTTATTCTCTTGGAATCAGAGAGTGTTAATCCTCCATCTTCTTTTGTTTTGACTATTTTTGGTCCTTGGCATTCCCATAGGAATTTTACATCCAAGTTGTTAATTTCTACAAAAACCACTTGCTGAGATTTTGATTGGAATTGCATTGAATCCCTAACAATATTGCCTTCCACCCATGAACACAATATATTTCTCATCTGCTTATTACTTGTGCATGGTATTGTTTTTGTAAATTTAATTTTTGATTGTTCATTGGTACCATATAGATACAGTTGTTTTTCTTTTATTGATCTTGTATCCTGCCACCTTGCTAAACTTACCTGTTGTTCTGGTAGATTTGGTTGTTTTCTTTTAGATTCAGTTAGATTTTCTGTATAGATGAGTGTGTCGTCTGTGAACAGAAGCACTGTTACTTCTTCCTTTCCTATCTGGATGCCTTTCATCTCTTTTTTCTTACCTTATTGCAACCGGCTGGTACCTGCGGTACAAATTCGAATATAAATAGTGAACAGACATCCTTGTTGTTTTCCTAGTCGTAGGGGGAAAGCATTAAATATGAAGTTAACTTTGGGTTTTTGTAGCTAGCTTTTATCAGACTGAGGAAGTTCCTGTCTATTTCTCATTTGCTAAGAGTTTATGAGAAACAGATGTTGCATTTTGTCAAACGCTATTCCTGCATCTATTGAAATGATCATATGATTTTCCTCTTTTAGTCTAATATGGTGAATTACCTTGATTTTTGAATGTTAAACCAACTTTGCATTCTTGGGATAAACCCCACTTGGTCATGATGTATTATCTTTATAAAATATTGTTGAATTTGATCTGCTAAAACTTTTGTTTGGAATTTTTGTATTTATGTTAAAGTGGGAAATTGGTCTGTAGTTGCCTTGTGGTCTTTGACTTTTATCTGTAATGTCTTGTGTCCTTTTAATGTCTGCATGATCTTTCTGTTTTTCTAAGTGTTTAGTGCTTTACATTTCTCTTCAAGCCCTGCCTTAGCAGCATCCCTTTAAATTTACTGAGACTTGTTTTATGGTCCTGAACATGGTCTATTTTGGTGAATGTTTTATGCGTATTTGAGAAGAATGTGTATTCAGCTGTTGTTGGGTGGAGTGTTCTATAAATGTTAATTGATTCAAGTTGATTGATAGTGTTGTTTAAATGTACTATGTCTTTGCTGGTTTTCTGTTTATTTGTATCGGATACTGAGAGAGGATTATTGAGACCTCCAGCTATAATTGTGGACTTGTCTATTTCTCTTTAAATTTTATCAGTCTTTGTTTTATGTAATTTAAAGTTGTATTATTAGGTATATAAACATTTAGGATTGTTATGTCCTCTTGTGAAATGCCTTCTTTATTCCTGGTAATACTGTTTGCTTAGAAATCTACTTTATTTCATAGAGTCATTTTAGCTTTCTTTTGAATAGTGTTAAAATTTTATATATTGTTCCATCCTTAACTTTTATTCTATTTTTTCCTTTAAAATTTATCAATTACGCAGCATATAGTTGAGTTTTGCTTTTTAAATTATAGTCTGATGATCTTTGCCTTTTATTTGGGGTATTTAGACCTTTTTTTTTTTTTACAACAAGGTTTTTATTTCTTGCTCACATTCACATTCATCTCAGGCTGCGGGCTGAGTACGTCTTTGCTCCTTACTTCTTCATTCCAAGACCAGTGACCAGCTCCTATCCAGGATAAACCAGATTCGTGGCAAATGGAAAAGTATTTAGTGGAAATACCTTAAAACGTGCTAGGGAATGGTACACATAACTTCAACTTACATTTTATTGGCCAAAGCAAATCACATATCATACCTTATGTAATGAAGTGAGAATTACAATCTTTTAGCAGAGATGGATCCAGGAAAATATATACTTTACTATTATTATTTCAGCTCCTTTTTTTGTATTATTATTTTCAGTTTATTCACATACCATAAAATCCACCCTTGAAACAGGTGCCTTGAAACAGGTTTTCCAGTCTGGCTGGTGGGGACAGATACTGTTTCTGGCCCTGTGTGAATGGTGGCCACTGTTAAATCCAGTCTTTTCTGGTGTATTTTTCCTCTAGCCTTAGGTTATTTCCTGACACACATGTGCTGATGAGTTCTCAGCTGAATGCTTGATGGGTGTCCTCTGCCAGTGTCTGAAGATCTTGTTTGTGTGCTTCTTACCTCTGTGGTACTCTGTCCCATGAACTCTAGCCGACTTGGTCCCCTCAGGCCCTTAGCTCTACTCCATTCAGGGTGTACTAGGTTCTGTCTGAATTTTCCCTCCCTGTGCCAGGACCTGGAAACTTTCTCAAAGCAGGCAAGAAGGCAATCATAGGGCTTACCTCACTATCTCCTGAGTTTCAGATATTGCTGTCTGTTATTGCCTGTTGTCTAAAGTCTTGAGAAAACATTGTCATGAAGTTCATGTATTTCGTCCATTCTTTTTTGGTTGTTTCAGGGGAGTGGGTGAGTCTAGTCTCTGTTACTCCATCATGGCCAAAATGATAACATTTTTTTATAAAGTTTTACATTTTCCTTTGGCATTGGGAAGAAGTCTGAATAAGATTAGAAAAATTGATTTATATTATTTGACACTTAGGTTTAGGGGTTAATTTGTTGTTAGTGCTGTCAAGTTGATTCCAACTCCCAGCGACCCTGTGTCCAGCAGAGCGGAACCCTGCCCAGTCTTTTTACGCTGTCCTCTTAACCTTCTGGTGTAACATCGGACAATGCTCTGCTGCTGTAAGGTTCTCATGGCCAATTTTTTTGGAAGTGGGTGGCCAGGTCCTTTTTCCTAGTCTGTTTCAGTCTGTGAGTTCTGCTGAAACCTATCCAACATGAGTGACCCTGCTGGTATTTGAAATACCGGTGGCATAGCTTCCAGTATCAGAGCAACACACAGCTGCCACAGTGTGACAACCAACAGACAGGTGGTGTGGTTTCCTAATGGGGAAATGAACTGAACCTGGGCAGGGTGGTGGCAGTGAGAGCACTAAATCCTAATCACTAGACCACCTTTGGAGTTAATACCATATTTAATATATTCTGAATGTTACCTCTGGTCAG